TGGACAAGAGGGCTGCTCCCTCGAGGGAGGCGGCTCCTGCTCTGGCAGCCGGGTTCCCCCCACGAGGACCACCAAGCGGGGCGGAGGTGAGCAATGCTACCATGTAATATGTCTGAATGTATTATTGTATTATCTCTCATGCTCTTGATGACTTTAATATAATACTTATATATCTCAACCGTACAATTGTGCATTATTGAATCCGAGACGTAGCAATAGTAGTAGCAGCGGGTGGGGGCTGGCCCTTCACCCCCCAGAGCCAATTTTTTAATTTAATACTACAGCAAACTGTTCACAGTTATTGGTTTATTAATGATGGAGACTTTAAAGATGAGTTTCTTTTTTGAAAACCTCTTGAAATGACAACCACTGCACATGATGTATTTGACACAGTTGGTTCATTTCTGAAAGAGCATAAGATCTCTTGGGAAAAAGTTTGTGGTGTTTGCACAGATGTTGCTCCAGCTATGCTAGGATGTTGATCTGGATTTCAACGTTTGCTACTGAACGAGTCACCAAAAGTCATCAGAAGTCACTGATTCATCAGCAAATATTAGCAATGAAGATGCTGCCACAAGAGTTACAAGAAGTAATGAAAAGCATCATAAATTCTATCAATTTTGTAAAGGCAAGCACTTTAAATAGTCGACTGTTTTCACAACTGTGCAACGAGTTGGCTGCGCTGAATAATGCTCTGCTATTTCACACACAAGTGCGATGGTTGTAGGGAAGGAAAAATTTTAAAGCATGTTTTTGAGCTTCATGATGAACTCAAAACGTTTTTTAATCAGAAAGCAAGACCGCAGTTAGAAGCACTTTTCAGCGACAAAAGTTAACTGCAGAAAATAGCTTACTTGGTTGACATCTTTGCCATCTTGAATGAGTTAAATTGGTCACTGCAAAGACCAAATGAAACATGCCTTGATTTGTCTGAAAAGATCCGATCATTCTAAATGAAATTTCAGCTTTGGCAAAAAAAAATTTGGATGAAAATAAAATTTACATGTTACCTACCTTATCTGCTTTCTTTGA